CTGTGAGTTGAAGTCATGATTAGCCTGACAGAAGAGAGAAATAAATAGGGTGAAGCTAATTACAGAAAGAGAGTAAAAGGAACTTCAACAAGAAACAGAATACAGCATTACTAAGAATTGAGGTTCGGAACTTAGTGCTAGTGATGAAAGAACTGCAAAATTCACCAGCGAGTCAAAAAGAGCCATTCTCTTTTGTCAAAATGGCAAGTCAGCCGCGACATTTCAAGACTGCCCGGTATGTTGGCCTCCACAGCCAACATTCTAAAGGAGTGCGGCGCCATGTTTCAAAGGAAAGTTTACTCAGCCATGCAAATTTTATGAATACAGAGGTGACTCTAAGCAAGTGAGAAGCAAATAAAATTCTGATAATATATACTATTTCTTATACTAAGGTCGATTTTCTGCGACACATCAGGCAATTCTGGGGACTTCATGCTGCAATCTGGCTAATAGTGATGACGTATCATGTACCAAAATGGCCACCCAGTGTCCCAAAAACTATTAAAATGACTGCTTGTGGGTCGGCAGTGGAGCTGAATGCAGGAACAGCGAAACCTAGAAGTAGTTACTTCGTAACTACGCAAGCGAAAAAAACAAGGACAGAAAAGAGCGCTGACTTTCAACAAATTAATAACTCCGATATTAAATCTTTTTGAAAGTCAGCGCTCTTTTCTGTCCTTGTTTTTTCGCTTCCGTAGTTACGAAGTAACTACTTCTAGGTTGCGCTGTTCCTGCATTCAGTTATGTCCTACCAACTTGCCCAAGCTTCCACGCTTCGGCAATGGAGTCACAGTGCATAGCAGCTAAGCGAGTTTCACTATTTATCACACAAGCACATCACTAGAAGCTCATATTGTGTTGTGATGTCAGGGCACTGTAGAAATGGAAAGTAGCTTTTAAAAGCATACTGTAATTTCTTTTGCAGAGTGTCCCCACACTTTGCAGTACATTTTCTAGATCATTGAAGGCTGGACCTTCATTAGACGCAACAAAATAAACATTTTGCTGCCAGTACTCCTTTATCATCCCAGGAGGTTTGAAAACGAGTGCTGCGGAAGTGAAGGCAAGCGTAAGCAGTTCCAAAGACAAATGATTTCTTGCATAAGAAACTGGGAGGACTGAGGTATTAAAATAAAGAAGTTAGAAATGACTACAAAAATAGTGCTGTGCCTCTGTATCTTGTGCAGTCTCCTTACATACCACCTGTTAGAAACATGTATGATAGGCCAAGGTTCGCATGCATTAAAGGAAAAGAAATGTGAACTAAAGTTAACAAGATCACCAAAATTTCAGTGTGTTTTGGACAATACATAACAACTATCTGTCAACAATGCAGCATAGTACCATTATGTTAGTTACATCTTTGAGTATATTATGTTAGTGTTGTCAGCATAAACCACGTAAATCACAAATTACCTATCAACCTGAGGTGTATGGATGTTTTTTTTATTCTTTTGCATGAAGCGAGAACTAGGAGTGTAGCAAAGAGCCTATGTCATTTCTCAGCTAGGTGCGGCAAACAGATTATAAAGTTTTGATAAACTGATCATTCACAACCCTGCAGCGAGTGTGCCATTCCCTGCCACGTGCACTCGGTAAACCATTATAATTCTTTTGCCTTAAACGAACGTGTATTGTCTGTAAAAAGAACTGCCGAGGAGGGTGCATTTTTGAACACTACGCGTAACTTAGCTGCATCTGGTCATTCTCTTCATTCACAGGACATTTGTCAATATTAGACGTTTAAAGTATGCAAGCTCAAACCACTAACATTTCCGGATTGCAGTTTTGATGTACACAATGCAGTCGTTCGCACACTAGCTGCACTGATATGCTACATGATGCTTACTCTGGACACTTGATCGTAAAAATTCACACATTCCGTCACTTAAATACCTAGCAGCTATCGCAGTGAAGCCTCAATAAATGCGTGCGTACTTTTTATTACTTTATAGCTTTCGTCAAACACTCGAAGCTGTGGGTCTGAGTTTTTTGTTGTTGTTGAATTTATTCCACTGATCAACATCTCGACGTCCTCTTAATCTTCACTGGAAACGACTGTCCACTTCTTGGTGGCTCCTGCAATCGTTCAAAACAGATCAACACTGCCGGAGGCGATAAAGTGCAGCGTCGATAGAAGCACGTTCACAGTGTTTTTCGGTACACTTGAAGTTTATACGCATGCCTCCAAATGATCGGAAGGCGTTTTTCATGATCAAGATTTGCTAAGCGAACACAGTGCACTTATGTAGTCCACCTGGCAGCTGCCAGCAGCATCGTCATGGGTCCAGCCAAGTTTGCTGACGACATAACGCACGAACCAATGAGTGCCCAGCTTCCGAGAGCCTCGTGAGGCCACCTGGCGCAGAGCATTGTGGGGTAGTTTTTCGACTCGCCTTTGTAAACTGGCAGCCCGGCCATGGTCCCGTTGTGCTGGCAATGTGGACAGCGCACCGCTGCTTGGCGTGCGATCACGCCAACGGGCAGTACGTCGCTGGAGCATGCTCCCCGCTAGTGTGCGCGTACCTTTGCCGGCCGTCGCCGGCGTTGCGGGCAAGCGAAGCCGATCGCGTTCGCGAATGGCGACCTCGTGCCTGGAACACCGACGAGGCGTGAGCCGGGAAAGCCAAACGCAAGCGTCGGCAGTGGAAGACCAATGACACCGACGAAGTGCGAGTCAAGAACGCCGATCGCGTTCTAGAATAGAGACGGTGCATGGGTAACACCGACGAAACGCGAGCCGAGGAAGACAAGCGCAAGCGTCTTCACGTCCCTCCTCCCGTGTCCATGCGTTTCAAGTAAACGTTCATTCCAGTAAACGCTACACCGAGTTTCACTTCAAACCGTTCTTACAGCTCCCGCGTCAACGCCCATTTCAACCGGGTCAACGCCGTGCGCAGCACCGCTGCTGCTTCGCATTCAATTACGGTTACCTTCGGAAATAGGGCCCATAGTTTTTTTTCGGTTGCCATGGCTGCATTTGTCAAAATTTTTATTTAGCCCGTTTAAGCACAAATATTGGGACAGAATATTCAGTCTGCGGTGAGAGAAGCACAATTAGCCTTCTCAGCGCCAAAGCTCGCATTTTTCATGTGCTGTTAAACTCAAGGAACCTCCGTAACAGATGCTGTAAGAAGGTTGCGATAGGGGTACTTTGCGACGTTCCTAGATGACGTCCCGCAGTTTTGAGTAGTTCATACGGACGCCGTGCAACAGGAGACACGTTCTCTATATTGTCGCTGAAAACAGCAGTAATACGCATCGGTGTTCATAGCAGGACGTCATGCACCGAAATAATTAATTTACATATTTAATGCATGCAGTGGCAAGACGGCTATTGGTGTGCATCAATCTAAGCACAATAAAACAAATTAAAAGAACAAGAGGCCGCCATCCCAAAGTGGCGTAAGGAGTGGTTAATGCAGCAAAATGATAATAAATATAAAGGCATGCGCGTTTCCAGAAAAGCATCCTGCCCACTACCATACGAAATTAGTAACATTCATTTGGAATCTGTAACTTCACAAAAATACTTTGGTTTGTACATTACTGCAAACTTAAACTGGTCTATTCCTATCGAACAAATAATCAACAAAGCTGATCTTCGCCAAAACTTTTATCTAGTTCTATGCTCAATGAAATTCCTGCTTTATAAAATACTAATCCCATCTAAATCTGAGTGTACTTACACTGGTGTGAGACGCTACCCATATCAATTTATTTGTATCAATCACACTAATTTCAGTCACACTGAGTATAAATTTTGTGAAATTTGAGCTTTCCCTCCCATAATTATCCTTACACAAAAAGTGTCACGCATTGCCTCGTTTCACAAAATGTACCATCATCCTGCACTATGCGATCGTCTAATCCATTTCGATCATCCCATCGTCACAAAGTGGGATTCACTTTGCTTACTTTCATCGATAATTTCTACCGCAAACCTATTGTGATTGAAATAGCCTTACCGCTGACGTGAAAAGATTATGGTGAAAAGATTATGGTGTTACCCACAACTTAATTTTCATGAATCCATAGCTCACACTATATACTTTTTCTAACTTACTGTGTAGTTCTATTGTGCTTACATATTTTATTATTTCCGATGGAGGCGGAATTGTTGTAGGCCCGTGTGCTCAGATTTGGGTGCACGTTAAAGAACCCCAGGTGGTCGAAATTTCCGGAGCCCTCCACTACGGCGTCTCTCATAATCATATGGTGGTTTTGGGACGTTAAACCCCACATATCAATCAATCAATTGCATATTTTGTTCCCTTTTTCTTATTTTTTGCATGCGTACATTTTTACCACACCCCCTTCGTATTGCCTCTGGCCCTGAGGGAAATGAAAGGGAAATGTAAGCGTACAGCAAATTCTAGAACCAAGTGATTGTAGTTGTCCCTGTGCGCGAAACAAAAAACGTGGTCTAAACAGTTTCTTCGAGCAAAACACGAGGCGTTAAAACCAATTAGTGGACGACAGTGACAGCATGATGAAACAAAATGTGACGCCATAGCAACGTGCATGGTGTGGTTACTTTAGCGTTCGGGTAAATGAAAGTGCTCTTTATTCCCCAAAAAGTTCTGCTTGAGAATGCCGGCTGTTAATTTTTCAGTTTGTTAAGTAAAAAAAGCTCTCTGTTATCAAGAAAGGACCTGCATCATCTTTATATACCGTATCAAATGACTTCAGAATTAAGCTCTAGCACCTCGCAAGTATTGGTTTTTATCAGGAACAACAGTCGAAACGTTGAGATTACTATTATGAGCTTTGTTTCTGTACAAAAAACGCCGAGTTTGCAAGGTTGGCAGAACAATGAACAGCTGCAGTGTGGGTTTAGAGCTCTGATATCTGCAAGAGGCAACGCAATAAATGTTTGTATACCGACTTCGCGAAGCCGTGCTGACTGAAATTTTGCCAGTCAGCATGGCTAGTAAACTTGTATTATCTTGCGTCAAGTTTCTGTGATTTCTCCTGTGAAACTCTGGTTTAACCTGCAGGTCTCTGTGACAAGGATCAGTTCCAGTGCACTAACCGCCAATGTATTCATCTCAGAGGCATCTGTGATGGTGTCATCGACTGCACCGACGGATCAGATGAGAAGTTTTGCACAGCTGCGGGTGAGTTGACCTGCCCATGCAGAATGCTGAGATTAAATTTGGCTTAGTGTGCGCGAGGCTGCACCTCCGCAACTTGCTGAGCGCTGCGTAAGCTGTATCTGAGGCTTTAGCTTGCAACATTAGTTTACTGCGCGCAACATCGGAAACGTATAGTGCACCTGAGCGTCTTTGGCACAGTTAGCACAGTTGGAGTCTACTAACCGAAGCACAAAGTCCACAATAACAGTGTTACCTCACGTTACTCCCATCAAAATTTTACCGCGTCGCTCACGCAAAAATGACGCACGAAACGTACTCACTAGTGCAGATAAACGAAAATAGTTGTCTATTTAGTTACTTCAGTTCGTCTGAAAAGCGCGCCGTTTTCCCAAACTGAGGCTGCGCAGCGAGTGCAGAACCCTTTGTGCGTCCGGTAACTACAACAGAATCGTTCCCATTAAAACCCAATGTGTACTATTCTCCCCACTACTAGATAAGCGCGTGAACGCGTGGGCGTCTACTACCCCCTTCCTCCGTGCGCCAAAGTACGCGTGGGAGATGAAGGCATCAGCGCACGTTGCCGCTTCGTGATGATCTGGCAACGCTTAGGCGACGGAAGGCGCTGCGAGCGCGCAACCGATTAGGACCTGCAGCGTTTCGGCTCCATCGTTTTTCGATCGGAACCCCTGACCATCTCTTCGGACCCTCAAGAAAACCTCTCCACCGTCACCGGAATGTGATCCGGTTCATTTGGACACCCCATTTTGGCAAGTGGACCCACCTCACAACTTTCACGGGCGACTTACATCTGGACGCCGGAGGCGGCCCCGCTCGGCCTACTGGCTACGGCGCCCCCCGGCAAAATGGCCGATCGGTCCCACACCACGACCGTCACCATGGCGGACACATACACCAGATACGACCCCCACAGCATGATGTGGACTACCATCTCTACCTCGGACAGCAGGCCGGAGCTGCCCCAAACATTTAAGAGCACCGCGCTTGCTGCCGCGGTGGCAAGACGCGAGCGAGCGAGCGACGCGGCAGTGGCGGCGTCCGCCAATGCGGCCTCCCCGACCACGGCTGTCGACGAGGCAGACCGCTCCTCCTCCACACTTCCGCCATAGAGAAATAAAGGTTAAGAGTGGACACTCCCGTAGACCCCAGCGGCCCAATCGACCCTAGCACACCTAGTGGTTGGTGAGAGCAAGTGGCGTGCGCTTCCGGTTTCGGTTTCACTGGCGCAAAATTTGAATTACTTTGCATAACCGACGTTTGGCTATGACGAAAGTTCATGATTTCAGACCACTATTCATCGCCCAAATGGATAATTTTTGTAGGTCGTTTTCATTTAGCGATTCCCTGTTTTGTTTTGTTCAGTGGTTCGTGCGAATCGGTCGTGACGTAATTTTTATTTCGATTAAGTTATAATAAAAACAGATGCAGGTAATGATAATTCACTACGGTTTTATTCATCGCGCTTGAGTTTTTCTTTTGGAACAAGTGATCAATGTATATATCAGTCAAAGAAACAGAGCATCCGCAATGTTTTATTCAAAGGCAAGGTAGAGTATGAGAATATAAAAAGCACAATATGACAAAGGTAGACAGCAAATGCATCTCGCCTTACAAATAAATTGTAACAAATATTGTAACAAATACATAGAGAACACAGACAACGCACACATCGCTAGAGTTGGCAGAAGACGAGAAGCTGGTGAAGTATGACACACCGGGCCAGTGGGTAAGGATCTATGGCAAAAACACAGCGCACAATGCTGATGAAGAAGTGACATATACACAGCAATGAAGTCGCGAATCACGCCTGGGCTTAACCGAAATAATGCATAGAAAAAAAGAGCGCACAGAAACCACACGACACAATATAGCAGAAAGGCAAAGGTGTAGTGTGCTGGCTGTGCTTAAGAACAGCTAGTCCAAAATGAAAAAAAGCAGACTTGATGCCTGCTTGTCCTCAGAAAGGTAGGGCGTTGCAGCTTGCTCACTACGTGAAAGACAAACTTTATGCTACAACACTGGCAGGTCTTGTGGCTTTTGTTATGCGTCGCCTTCATCATAAACTTAAGATCCCAAGTGATTTGCGTCTGGGTGTTGCTGTGACGCTTGCGAGCTAAAATAGATTGTAGTCATCACTTTATCCAGAATTGTGGACTTTAATTGGTGCTACGAGAGCAGTATTACAGGGCTAATAAATAGCAGAAGGAAACCACTTTGGCTCATTATTTTTCACAAAGGCTCTACATCGTACGTTATCACTCACAAGCTATATAAAAATAAAATGGCAGCGTCCGCAGCCCCATCAAACGCTACAAGTTTGGGTATTCTTTTGAAAATTTTGATGGGCGAGATGAGGAGGTTGATGAGAAGCTAAAATACGAAAAGCGTGATAATGTGAACCGTGCCCACTTCATACTGTGTTCCTTACCCGCTCGAAGACATTTCAACAAGCGGTTTTGTTATCGATATATTACTTGAGCTGGAGAGATAAAGCATACACAGTGACAGAGTGAGCCACAGTAAAGTGTACAGTTTGCCCGCATTTGCTACAAAAATACAGACAGGATACCCAACATTCTTTTTAAGGTTATGCAAATCACTTCGAGCGAATACACAGTGTCCCTACTCCTCATAGCGGGTAACCTAAACAATGTATGCAACGAAGGAGTGATTAGTTCAGTTGAACTGAATATAAGCATATAAGACCATAATAAAGTCTGCTGTAACGAAGTAATAACATAACAAAGCTTTTGCAGGATTCGGCTCAACTCAAATACTTTAGTGTAAACCCGCCGCTAATTGCTAACCTTTGAACTTGTCAAGCTGTATGCCCGAGATTGAAGACTGTAACCTAACCATATCTAAGTTTCGGTTCACAAAACGCACATGCCAACATAAACGAACCCGGCAAAACATTTTCAGAAACTTCGCGCGACACCCAGCAGAGCAGAAATGAAAATCGCCAACACTTGACAGATGCTGATACAAAACATCGCACACTTTCAGGTGATGTGCAGTAGCCTCAATAATGGCACGAAAGTGATATTCAAGTTGTTGTACGTATGCAAAAGCTGCTTCTGATGGCACAGTAAGATTCCCAAAAAATTTGCTGGGGACGTGGTATGCTTTGAGCATTGTGAAATACTGGTGGGTACCCTTAAGCGTCTCACTGTCGTCTTTCGGTAACTGTGGGCAACTGCAACCGTCACATGCATTCCGAAGGAAGTGTTTGATGAGAAAACCAGCTACATAATATGCAGCGGAGTAACCGATAGTATGGAAGTGAATGTTGGTCGCAAGTTCAGAGAGATCATGTAGAGCGGGAAAGTCGTCAGGCTGTGGCTGTGCACACTCCTCATTATCCACAAGAGACGCACTGGTGAGGGAGAACGGCGAGAGCTGCTCCTGGAGGAGGTCACATTCATCATCCTCGACATTTCCGTATTCCGACAGCTTGAAGAGTTTTCTTATGCAGATGTGCTTCAGGCCACAAATGAATTGTGCTACATTGGGGTTGGTGTTGCAACCCTGTTTTTGCCTAATGTGGCCAAATATGTTCTCCAGAGGATCCTGTTGAAGCCTGCGTGTTAACAGGTATTCAAAATTGTAATTTTTGGAGAGGTCGTCCCATAGTTGACAAATTGCCTGAATTGTAATTTGCCAACCTACGATGGTTTGTGGTTGACGTCTGCCAGCAAACTGCCATGATGCAATCCAGGGAAGCTGGCCTCGGAGGAAGTCAATCAGCTCTGAATCATTTTTCATGATTGCATGCCGCAGCTTTTGCGAAGTTCTTTTTTTACTCGAGCTGTTCAAAGCATCAAAAATCCTGTCCATATGATCACGAAATTGAGCTGTAGTGATGGCCGAGGCAGGCAGCACCTTCGCATACACCATTGCCGTGATAGCAATCGAAACTGATGCACTAAGGACCTGATCAGTTGCTCTGCTGACCTTCATATTAGAAAAAGGTTTCTGATGAACGTGCCGTTCAGTCAACTTTGGAGCCAATCGCAACCGCAACTCATGTGAGGATTGGTAAAGGCTTACAATGTGCGACCAGTTAACGATGTCATCCCCAATGTATAACTTGTGTGCTTGGACATTATTGCGCGTTGTTTTAATTAAATGCGGAACATCAAAAATGTAATATACCCGCTCACCATAAACTTCAAAAAAAGGCTTTGCTACAGTCACTCTTAGTTGGTTAGCGAGACTTACATTTGAACTGCCCTGGTCACAAATGACTGCTTTCACTACAATATTAATGCTCCTAAGCTCCAAAATGAGTGACACCAGCAAGTTATGCATAACAGATGATGGTGTTGATGTGTGCCCTATAGTAAAAGCAACCGGTTGAACCCACTTTCTTGAAACGCCAACAAGAAGAAAAACCAGTGCTCGATCAGCGATGGTTGAAGTGCGATGAGTGCCATCATCTGTAAAACCCTGGACAACGTCTCTTGCAGCATCATAGTACAAATTCTTTTTGAGTGCTATTTCGTCGAAAACTAAAGCGCAAACTCGGTCCTGTTCATTCCAAGCTTGAGTATTTGTTGCAATGGAAGAAAGGATTCCTGGAATTATGCCTGGAGTCATCTTTACATTAGCTAGCCACCTCCTTAATGAACGCCGGGAGGGCAAAGAAAAATATGGAGCCAGAAATCGGTATGCTCGCGGACCTCGGAAGTTTAAGTGAAGAGCGAATTTCTTGAACCACACGGGAAACCGCTTGCCCTTGCATTTGGGCCTCAAGCGAACATGTGCAGAAAGAAGTTTAAAAACCTCCTCGGTGACGTGCGGTCGGATAACTTCAAGGGCCTTCGAAGTCGATGACGGTGCTTGGTGAGGCTGTCTCTGCAGTCTTTTGATAGTTTTCCGCTGTGCTGCTACTTTGGCTTGCAGATGTTTAATGGTTTGCTTGTACTTCATTGATGGAGACATTGTCGCTGGCACACAGGAACGCACTGCAATAAACAAAAAAATTGATGTAAAAGCGAAGA